AACAGAATCTCAAGAAATACAAGTTATACTAAAAAGAACAAATTTTAGACACATTCCAAACAAAAATACTACAGTGGCACCAGCTAAACTATCTTAACAAAAAATCAAACAAAAAGAAAGAAACTGGGTGGTACAAATATATCCGTGCAAGAATAGATGAACTCCTAATGCAAGGTGCTATAGAAATAGGACTCAACCCACTTGCTCTCATATATTCAAGAACTCAGGAACCAAAACAGAAAGACTAGTTCTCTTTTGAAAAAAACAGGACAAATCATAACTGGTCATTGAGTCATTCACAACAAAGAAAATATAAACTTAGATACTTCAACACAATCGACAAGTCACCAGTCAAAGCCTATAAAGGTTGCCAATTCACTACTCACATAGACCAACGAGGTCACAACTACTGCATTGAAATATCAATGTCCTCTCTGGTTATAACACCTATCATCAAAACCATCAAATCTGATTAAAGGAAGAATAACAACCCCAAGCTAAGACTACAAATATCTTCACAGAGCTGAACCAAGTGATGGCAACAACTCAACACCACACTGGACTCAGTTAAAATCACACATGAAACAGCAAGCATAAAAACACTCAAACAAATCATAAGAACACAGGATAACCTATACACAGAAATATCAGCAATCCAAAGAAGACTAGAAACAGAGCAACGTATCACAGTATACACTGATGGAAACACCAAGACAGAAAATTATCATAGCATGGGAGTAGGAATAATCTTCATCATGCCAGATGACACACACATGGAGTTCAAGGCAACCTTTATGGGACAAGTATTAAAAAATAGATCAGAAATTCTAGCAGTCATTATCAACTGCATAACAATTAGGAAAGACAAAAAGATTAACATACATACTGACTCACAAAAACTTATTTTTGATTATCACAAGCTTACAACCAACCAGAAACTAGTTAAACAACAAGAGAAAGAAATGATTCTTAACCTTTGCAACATAACAAACACCTTCCAACAAAAGGTAACTTGGCATAAAATATCAAAAAAAGATGACAACCCACTCTACAAAAGAGCTGACGAACTGGTACATCAAGCAGTATCAAATAAGAACAAACATGACTGCAATACAATTCTTCTTACATGTCTAGAACCTAACCACCTACAACTATACTACAATAGTAACACTAAAATTATATAAGATATTCAAGGGGCTATTAAGCAGATCCAACAAGTGCACCTCAATAAATTGGAATTGACTCAACAGAAACATATCTCTTATTCAAGCCAATCACAACAAAATGGACTGGAAAAACAGCTTCGCACTTCTTCATCCAACCAAACTCAACAACCCATAAACAGACAAGTGGAACTTTCAATAGCACAGCTTTTTTATCAAACTATAGAACCAAGAACTCCCAACCATGGACAAACTCCATAAAAGACATCCAAACATATACAAAACAAATATATGTCACAGCTGCAGAGAGATAGAACATAATGACCATCCCTTTACCTGCATCCAACACAATATTAACATCTATGAAAAAATCAACAGAAATATATATAGAGAACTCCACTATAGAAAAAACAACAAGTCCCTCCAAATAACACATAACAAAGTCGAGCTCAACACTAAAAATCTAAACACACTCATCTTCAGAGGAGGTATTAGCAAGGCCCTAAATAATCTTATCATAGAAATAATAGAATATGAGAAGCTGCAGACACCCTTAAAAGTATCATGCAATATACTAGATTCCTCATTTTCAACATCTGACTTGACAGATACAGAAGAATGCTACAATAGGAAAAGAACAGGGAATCAACAAAACATCCATTAAATGAAAGAGAAAGAAAATGCAACAGAGACCACACAAAGAAGAAAGAAAGATGACAAACAGACCAAAACAAGCTGATACACAGAATATAATAGGTAACATCCTGAAAGGAATACACAATATCTTTGATATTTTTCAAATTAGTGCTAACAGAGCCTAGACATGTTAGCTCCCAGCAAGGAGCAACAAGCCATAAGGGATTATCAAAATCAATTAGCTTTTTAATAGATTAGTATAGAAAAATATATAAAGAAAAAGAGTTGGTAAATAGCATATTAATTCAAGTAATATGTATTACACTAAAATTAATAAAGTAGGCTTGCTATACTTTGTAAAAAAAAAAAAAAATGTACTCTATAGAGAAGCATACAGCTCAGCATATCTGAAAAACACATAAAAGGTCAATACATAAATCTGTAAACAATTATATAGAACAATATATAAAGAATATTACACTCCTCTTTTACATATTTATTACTTTATATAGTACTAACCTAGCCTTGGCTAGTTAGCTTCCACTAGAATGGCAACAGGCTGTGAGGTAAGTCTTTCTCTATTAAACTAATTTAGTTAACATGGGTAGTTATAGCATAAACAATATGTACTGTATATCTCTATTTAATCCAAATAAAGTAAGGTTGAGCCAGTATTAAAAAAAAAAAAATAAGATCATACTAATAGTTTATTATTATTAATTAATCTGAAAATTAATAAATTGTTAAATTAAAAAAGAAAAAGAAAAAAAACAATTTGAAAAAAGAGGATAATTTAAGGTTCATTAAAAAAATCCAAAAATAAAAACAATATTTTTTCAAAAAAGATTTATTTAATTGAGATAGTTTATTTGAATCTTAAAAGAAATTATCTTTTTTATTATCTATAATATTGAATAAGTTAATTTAACTAATTTTTTATTTAAATAAACATCAGATTAAGATATCTTAAGGAAAATATTTAAATCTTAGCTTTTTTCTATTAAAGCTTTGTTATCATCTAAGGAACTTAAATAAGAGATAAGAGTTTGTAATCCATATTATTTATTATTTGATATTTTGATATTATAAATATTTTTATAAGAGATTTAGGCTTATGGATGCAAATTTTTTTGAAATATTTTTTTAATTATTAATAATATTATTGAAATATAGTATATGAGTATAACTGATAGAAGTTTGTTTACATTTCAAAAACTAATATGTTTTATTTTAACTAATTATTTTTAATAAAGATTTATATTATTTAAAATTAAAAATCAAATTGAGGTATATAAAATTCTTTATAAAACTGTGGAAATAGAAGTTTTGAGAAATTAAAACAGTTAAAAAGAAAGAAAATATATTTTTTTTACTATAGAAAAACTTTATAAATCTTTTACTTAAAAGATCAAAAAGTCTTCAGATTTTTTATAATCAGTTCTTCTTCTTTTAGAAACTTTCTTGTTATTGATATTAAAAATATTACTTGACTTTTATTAGTTATTAAAAGTCATGTTTTTGAGTAAAAAGTTTATAAATTGTTTTAGAGAAGATATTAAGACTTTATTAGCAATAAAATATAAAAACTTTTTTTGAATATTTTTTTTGTATTATTAAAGAATTAATAAAAAGAGTTTTTTATTTTTTAATAAATAATTTATAATTGAATATTTTCTTTATTTGTTTACAAACTACTTATTTAAAAACTTGACTTTAAATAAATAAAAAAGTCAATTAATATTTTTGATACTAATAATAAGAAAGTTTTCAAAAAAAAAAGAATTAATTATAAAGTATTTAAAAATCTTTTCAACATTTAAAGCAAAAGGTTATAATAATATTGTTATAGTTAAATACTTATTTTTTTCTTTTTAATTATTTGAATTTTTTTTTAGCTTTACATTTATAATTTTTTTACTTATTAATTATTTTAATTTTTTTTTAGCTTTTATATTTATAATTTTTTAAGGAATTTTATCTATTTCAATTTGACTTCAAATTTTGAATAACTCAAATCTCATTAAAGATAATTAATTAATATAAAATATATTAATATATAGAATATAAACAATTTTTTATTGGCTATACTTATATATTTCAATAATATTGATAGTGATTAAAAAAAAGGTTCTAGAAATTGTTTTATTTCAAAAGTTTTAAGTTTTTAAGAAAGACTAAAATATCACAAAATAAGTAATAAGTAATATAGATTATAAAGTCTCATTTATTATAAGTTTTTTAAGTAGTAAAAAGATTTTTTTAGTTAAAAAACTAAGGTTTTTAGATTTTTTTAAGCCATTTCAATATTGTATTTACTTAAATATTAGATCTAGTTGGATTGACTTGTCCAATACTATAAATAGTATAAAGAAGATCTTTTTAAGATTCAAATAGAAGTAAGAAGAATATTCTAATCATACAAATATCTTAAAAAAAGTTATTCAGTTAATAGGTTTTTTTAAAAAAACTTGAATTGTATCTTATTTCATTTTTTTTTCTTTATTAGCTTAGTAATTCATAGTTTTTAAATAATTTATAATAATAAACTATTGGTGATAAATCTAATAAATAAAGATTTATATCAATTTTTTAGAAAAGTGAAATATTATTCTTTAAACTTGACTTAGAATACTTCAATACAATAATAAGTTAATTATTATATAAAAAATCTATTAGATTATAAATAGTTATATAAATTTTTTAATAAAATTTAAGTTATATGATATAGTTGTAAATTAAAAAATAAAAATAAAAAATAAAAATAAAAATTGAATATCAATTTATTAAAAAAGTAAATTAAATTTGATTTAGAATATCTAGTTTAGATTTTTATTCATCCTAAATTAGCTTGATAAACTTTTTACATTAATTTCAAATCTTTATGAATTTATATATACTATAATTACTTAAATAAAACAATAATATTTTATTGAATTATTATTTAAAATAAAAATTATTAAGATAAAAAGCTATCTATTATTACTTTTAATTAAACTATAAGTTATTTAGCATATTTATCTATATATTATTTTAAAATTTTATTTTTTATCGCATCGTATAATAAATATAATCTATTTTATTATAATAGATAAAAAATATATATAATATGTAAGTATGCGTACACGTCAGGGAAACAATATTTATGCAATATACGTATTATTCAATTGTGATTAGTATTATTGTTTCACTTATTGTCTTATCATGCGAAGTGTCGATTGTGATTTTGTATCCCCATTTACCAGACTTTTTTTGTAGAATCAATAAATGGCATGCAAATATCGAATAAAATTTCTAGTTTTTAACTTGAAACAGGAACCTTACTTCAAAATGATGTGCCTCTCATCGAAGGTTATTGTGATTTTGCACTTGTTTTCCAAATACGTAAATCCCGTACCACCTATTCTGCCACGAACGTACATGCAAATATATAAAATCCTTTTCCTTGTAAAAAGATTATGCAATTGGCGTCGAAGTCTATTTTACTTACATTTACATGGAAGACAAAGAAAATGGAATTCGACGAAATGGATTTAACACCAATATCGAAACTTCTTGTTAACCTCTCCTATATTTCATCATCAAGTATCCCTGTAGTCCTTATAACAACGGGATCGATGAATCCAATTCATCTTCAACATGTAAACATGTTTACAATTGCCAAAAGGCACTTAGAAACTACGTTACAGGACCACATTGTTGTGGCTGGTTACATTTCTCCATCCCAAGATAAGTACGTAAAGAGCAAGCTGATTCCTGAAGAAACAATACTAGAAGATTATCGCATCGAAATGGCAAAACTTGCAACACAGAACTCTTCATGGATAGATGTTGACACTTGGGAATCTAAGATTAGTCCAAAACATTTCATTGATTATTATCAAGTTGTCCAAAGACTAGCCACCTTTTTAAACGAAAATGAGCAGGTAGAACAAAAATTATCAGGAAAAAACAAAATAAAGGTCATGTATTTATGTGGGTCAGATCATGTCATTAGAACGGGTGCTAAAAAATTGAATGAGCATGGGCTCGTAATTGTACAAAGAAAATCTGGTGATAAATGGATGAGTGAATGCGAAAAGAAACTCGTTTCCGTATATAATTATTCGTTGAAAGATTTGAAAGATTTTGTCTTTTTTGTGGAAAATCAAAATGATACAGAAGTAAGTTCCACAAAAATTCGAAAATTGTTGCTGGATGGTAAGAGCGAGTGGGAGAAACTATGTGATGCACGCGTTGTGAAATACATGAAAACTCATGGCATTTTGATGGCAGAAACTGCCAAATAATTTAATAATTAGTACATATTACGAAAACCATTTAATTGGCGACCTCTCTATGCTCCTATCGGAGCATAAAAATTTATCATACGTATTGACTGTAATACGTATAAGTGCATGAAACATGAAAATGATTATATTGTATAATTTAGTTTTTAACTTTTATACAATTATCTATTTTGCAATCTGAAATCATATTTAGTTTGTTTATAACATTTTAATTATAAATTCTATAAGGTTATATTTATATTAAATTTATTAAATTTATTTATAATTATATAAATAAATTTTATTGTGATTTTAATAATAAAATCTATTTTAATTTTTTTTTTTAATTAATAAAAATATTGATATTAATATTTTATAATTTATAATTATTATTATTATTATTACTTTCTAGTAAATTTATATACTGTATATACATATACTGTATATATATATATTTATTAAATCATGGAATTTTTTTTAATTAATTACATATACAGTTTGAGATAAAGCTTTTTGTTCTTTATTTTTATTATAATTTAATAAATAATTATTTAATTAAATATATACTATATAATTTATAATCTAATTTAAAAAATATTTGAGTTTTAATAATAACTAATTGATGATTTTCTTTCAAAAATTTGATTTAAATAATATTTTTTATAAATTTTTATATATAAATTTATATAAAAAAGCAGTTGGAGAATAAATTTTTTCTATAGTAAAATTTTTTAAAAATAATTAATTAAAAATCAAAAAAAAATTTTTGTGATAAATAAAATTTTTTTAAAAAATTCTGGATAATATAATAATATATTTAATATAATTTATTAAATTTTTATTTTGTTAATTTAATTTTATAAATTTTTTAAAAAGTTTAAAAATAGTAAATTATTATTAAATTAATATTTTTTGATTACTAAATTTGAATAAATTATATAATTAAAAAAAAATTTTAATAAAAAAATTATAAAAATTTTATTTATCTTTGATTTATAAATTTAATGATTAAAATAATTATAATAATATTTTATTTAAAATTTTTGTAATCTATTTAAAATCAATATTTTTTAAAAATATTTTTTTGAAATTATAATTTAATAAAATTATAATAATTAATTTTAAAAAAATCTTTATGTAGTTTTATTTTATTTTTTTTTTTTAAACCCTCTGTTAGGCTAGTTATGTATACTTTATTAAACAATTATAAGCTATACATATAGTATGAATCACTAAAGCTAAAACTTTAACTAGCTTACTCGTCTCAGTAATTACTCTAAGTATAACTTTGGGAATGATTTTTCACTCTATTAAAAGTTCAGATGAAGACCCTTTCAACTTTTAATATTATTGCCTGCAGGTCACTACTGTAGATCACTCTTTGCAGTTCTGACAAAACTCAAAACCCAACCATTTTATTTTAAATCTAACTCCTTTTAATAAGATATCTGTGAGACCTTGATCTTCTAATCTTCCTTCTTCTATTAATGGAGCACCTC